GGGAGTCACTTGAGTTCATGGCTCATTATAATCTGCCCGATTCCTTCTAAACTCTTCATTTCACAAGTGCTAACCATGTTTTCTCTTTTTTAATGGTCTTAGTGTTCCACTAATTAAGCTATTATTTCTTTCTGCTATCTGCTAGCTGCTCCTGTTAATGTAGTTCCTATTTCATAGCCCTGCAGACTGTTTTTAACACTAGCTAAAAACATTAACTCAGGTGTGGAAACAACGCAATGAAGCTTTGGATGCACTGTCAAGGTGCTCAAGAAGCCTTGATTTTGTTATATGAATCTGAACGATATATACTTAATCTCAATGAGTACAGGACTTAAGAAATAATATCTTTTGAGTATTTTTTCTTATTATGTTTTTAATATATAACATAGCATATTACATATAGCAAATAATATACATTCCAATGAAGTTATATTCATTTTTGCTGTACTCTTAAACTGAATATATAACTGTAGGCCTCTAGCATAGAAGCCTCTTGTTTCTTTTTACCTGGAGAAGTATGTGTTGTGTTACATGTGCTGATGCACCACACCATCTGCACCCTCCCATTTCAGAATACTAGATCCATTCATACTTTTATTTATTCTTTTTTGGAAAACTGAAATATCTTTTCGGAGAGCAAAGAACCTTGTGAGAACCTTACCAGCACTTAGCCAGCAAATTTCTGAATGAAGACATAAATCACTATACACAGATGGCATTTCTTCCAAGAATTATTGGAATTTCCTGCATGACGAAAATATAACCTCCACCACCACTGAGACCGGTAACCTTCAGAACCACTTTTTACATCTTCAACTTGTTTCACACATTTTCCACACAAAGATTCTTGGTGAATTATGCAATGAATTACGGGGCACATAACATAACACCAGACTTTTTTGTTCTAATGCAGAATGACACAGCCAGGGAATGGAGGGTGAAGGAAGGAGAAACAGAAGGTATTCCCTTCCTCCAATAGGGTGTTCCCCACCACACTTGTACACTGTGGAAAAGCAGCGCCCCAGCCAAGGCAATGAGCATTGTGGAGGTAGGAACAGAGATAATGTGCAGCCCGGCACCACCACAGAGAAGCAGTCCCCAGTCTGCAAGCATGGTGACTGCCAGAACTTGGACCCAGGACAAGTGAAGCTACCCCACAATCTGGACAGAAGCAGCCCCACCTCGTGGGCTAATCACTGATATTGCTCAGCAAACACCTGGCATCAAGGTGCATCTCATTTGCAATCCACAATTTAAAAGTTCTCAGGCTATACGTGGCCCTCAGGCCCTCAGTTATACAGCCCTGTTATAAGTCAATCAAGCAATAAGAGGTATGAGGATTGTAGCCATGAAACCAAACAAAACTGTACCTCTTATTTTTCATCAACTGCTTGAGTCTTTCCTTACTACTCTATATACACACATTCGTTTGCCAGTGCCTAATTTGTTAATGACTACATCCTTTTGTTTCCCATCACTAGTTTTTATGATCAATTTTAGAATAATGTATAATGCCTCTGATAACTGTAGTGACTACTTAAGCCAAGATCCAAATTTAATTACATTGTTAAAAAATAGCTTTGTTCCTTGGGTTCCGAAAATGGATGTTAGACTCTAATATGTGGTTTCTGATACTCTTATCTATTTCTGCCTGCCATATTGTTTTGCGTCAATCTTTCACATACCTCTCTCTACTCAATCTATGTATTTTGGCAGCATTTCTTGTGTAATCACTAGGTCTTGTCAATTTCTTTTTCCCCAATTAAAATTAAACTTCACACAGCTTAGTACATATTAAATATAAAATGAAACTGACAAGCTGACAAAAGGAAAACTGAAAAAGCTGAAAAAGCTGAAAAGCTAGAGGAGTGGGCAAAGCTTTACAAACTTAAGCATTTTGACTGGAGCAAAAGGGGAAAAGGACAGTTTTGAACATAATCAGAAGCAACAGATTTTCTGAGCTGAAGAGCACTCCAGCCTGCAACAAACATGTTATTAATGTCTCGTTTGGTTTCTATTTAGAAGCAGCTGAAGATTAATTAAAAGGAGCTATGCACAATTAAAAAAATGTTATGATCACCTGCCAGCCAAGTACTGTCAAAGATATGGACATGTGTAGGCAGATCAGAGAAGTAGAACACTTGAAGTGGGAGCGGAAGGAGAGCATTATATCTTAGGTACACAGCAATGTAAGGTCTGTACACCACATCTTTACTTCTTTGTTCTGCTCAAGAGAAGCCATAGTCTGAATAGCCCCATGAAAGTATTAGGATCAGACCTTCTGACTTATACTGTATTTCACCAAAAACTTGCAGTTCTCAAACAGGAGAGGGGAAAAAAGAGGTACATGAACTTTGATTTCTCCAGAGAATCAAGAAGAGATGTCTTTGTCCTAAGAATATGCTAGGCTGACAGGTTGCATTTCTTTCTCAGATGTACCTTTCCATTTTTTATGGCCATATGCATGTGCTCTGACATGGGTTCACAGGTAGCAGTTAAATAAAAAAGGCACTGCTCTGCTGGTATCTGACATTATGTGACCCTTCGTACCTTGGGGAATGTGTAATACAGTAATGGCTTGCCAGACAATAGGAAGCTGCATTTATTGCCTGAAGGAGGTACTACATACCAAATTTGAGGTATCAATCTCCCGGATTTCCGTAGCTGACGTGCAAAATAGAGTGCATTTGTGTGGACACAGTTTCTAGTTCCTTCATTTTTAGTTTCTTGTTCAAATACTTGAGGAAAGATAGCAAGATGGTTACATAATTAGGAAATGAATCTCTTCTAAAGGAGCTTGTACAGCTGATGGGGGTTTAGTCCTCCGGGTTTTATTCCATGCCCCCTAAATTGAAACAGTGGGTTTTTAATTGAAACCCAGCATTTCAATTTTTCTGTCACATTACTGCGAGGGGCCTGATCCTTTTTTATTTTTTTTGGTCAGAGCCAGAGCCTGCCCGCAGCCGAGGAAGGACATGGCCGCAGTCGTAGCCCCTGAACTATGTTGGGGGGCTGTGTTCCTTTGCTCCACAGCAGCACCACCCCTGGGGCCGCCCAGGCACGGTGCTAGTGGGCCAAGTGCTGCCCCAGGTCAGAGGCAGCACCTGGCCCAATCCAACTGTTCCCCAAGCCCACCCACTGGAAGCCCACTGGGCACTGCTCCCCAAGCCGACTCGGGGAACAGTTGAATCTGACCAGGCAGCACCCAGCCTGACATTAGTCTGTCCAGCCAGCCCCACAGGGCACCACTACCACAGAGGGAAGGACCAGAGCCCCCCGCAGACCAGGGGCTGCTTGGCCTGCTGGCAGCTCACCCCCTAGTTGTAGGAGAGGCTGGCAGGCTCTACCAAAAATAATTTTTTAAAAAAGGATCAGGCCCCTCACTGCTTCTGCCTTCAGCAAGCTCCTGTGCCCAGGAGGACGCCTTAGAAGAGATTCATTTCCTAATTATGGAACCATCTTGCTATCTTTCCTCAATTATTTGAACAAGAAACTAAAAATGAAGGAACTAGAAACTGTGTCCACACAAATGCACTCTTTTTTGCATGTCAGCTACAGAAATCCTGGAGATTGATACCTTAAATTTGGTATGTAGTACCTCCTTCAGACAATAAATGATGCTTCCCATTGCCTGGCAAGCCATTACTGTATTACACATTCCCCAAGGTACGAAGGGTCACATAATGTCAGATACCAGCAGAGCAGTGCCTTTTTTATTTAACTGCTACCTGTGAACCCATGTCAGAGCACATGCATATGGTTATAAAAAACTGAAAGGTATATCTGAGAAAGAAATGCAACCTGTCAGCCAGGGACAAGCTGGCTTGCCCCTGGGGAAGCTCAGGAAGGTGGCAGGAGGGCAGCTGGGTTTGCTGGCAGCCAGAGAAGCTGGTGGGAATGGTGCACAGGGTGGTGGAAGCCTGGGCAGGCTTGAGGAAGCATAGGATCAAGCACCTCTGAGCTGGGGCAGCACCCAACTAGCTAGCAGCCTGCCCAGGCCTGCATCACCCCATGCACCATCAGCAAACTTGGCCGCCCTACTGCCGCCTTCCTGAACTGCCCCAGGGGCAAACCAGACTGTTCTCAGTTGGCCCCAGTCATCCTGCTGGCCACAGGAGCCTGCTGAAGACAGAAGCAGCGAGGCGCCAAATCCCTTTTTTCTGTGGAGCCTGCCCATCTCTTCACAGCCGGGGGGGGCAAGCTGACTGCTTCATTATTGCAATTTGCAAAGTTGCAAATTAAACTACATTGGGATGTAGTTTAGTTTGCAACATTGCAAATTGCAATAATTCAGCTGTGAGCTTGCCCCCCGGCCATTTGCAAACTCATTTAAAATCCCCAAAACTCTTGCATGTGGACAGCGTGATGCCATTAAGCCACACAGTGATATTTTTGTCACTTTTACATGGTAATGGCATCACGTGTACAAGCACCCTAAATGGAGTAGCTACCTCATCCACCAAAGACAACCCAAGCATTTGCAATACAATACCCAAATAATGGTGAGTTTAGATTCTATCAGTCTGACAACCACTGTAGCTTCTACCAATGCTGCAATAAATCCCTCCCATGTCCATCCAGTTTTCTTGTCCAGGTCAAAACAATCAACTTTCTCTCCTTCCACTCCCACTTCAAGTGTTGTACTTCTCTGATCTGCCTACACATGTCCATATCTTTGACAATACTTGGCTGGCAGGTAATCATAACATTTTTTTAATTGTATTAAAAACAAACAAACAAGATAATGCAGTTGTTTTCACTGGGACAACTCAGAGATTGAGGCATCATTAAACTGAGTAAAATGACATAATTATGTCCCATAATTTCTGTAAGACATTATAGAATGCAAGTAAAACACAAACTTCCAGGTTTCTCCATAACAAATATTCAGGAAAACAAGCTATCAGAAAGGCTATCAGTTCATTTTCACCCAAAGTCTACATTTCTATATTTACTGCTTGTACCTACTCCTGTGTATTGTTTAAATAGATGTTTCTTACCTTATTAAATAAAAATTCATGTGGGCGTTTCCATGAATTCACTTTTAAGGATGGTGGCAATTCAATCTTCCCTTCAGGGTCCTCAAAGACATGCTACATAAAACATACATGTACAAGACTTGAAGAATGTATATTTGCTAACCTACTGAATCTTCCACAAAATTTAAAATGCTCTATTATTCATGTGATTATTCACTGGGAAGAGTAGGGCACAGTGAAGACAAAAGATGGTCACTTATCAATAAGTAGGGCTTACCGATATGTAAATTGGCAGTCTGAGAATTAATATCCAGTAGGTGCTGAAATTTGAGCACCCTCATTTGAAAATGTCTGCCTACATAAACACTCACTAGTTAGGGGAGTTAAAAGGAAATCTACTAGGAAAGTATAAACACACACACACACACACACACACACACACAAAAACACTCATTACTTTTGTTACCATCTCCCTTTTATTTATAAACTACAACTTCAGTGTACTAATCTGCGACTTGAACAGTAACAATTGTATCTGAGAAAAATGGAAAGGTGTTTATGGATGTAAAGATTTTAAGAAATAGTTAGTTTTGAAAGTCTAAAGGAAGCCTCATAGGTTGGGTTGAAGGACTTACTATTAGAGAGACTAAAGTTACCTGTTTGCTCAAGTCAACAGAGTTCCAAATACTGACCTGAATTATGCTCTCAGAAGTGGAAACATATCTGTATGTAGGTATCAGATATTGGTACAGTATCAGATAGTTGTACAGTTGGTATTGGATATTAGGTTAATCTAATATTAACAGATATTATCTGATATGAGATATTAACAGATTTTTTTTTTCATTTAGGACAACTACATGAAACAGGTCCCTGGCAGATGTGCAATTAAAGGCGAGATGGGATCTCATGCACGATCCACACAATCACACTTCCTATCATGCCACATATGCATGGCAGGAGATGTGACTGTAGGATCAACCATCAGATCCCATCATGCCATAGTGCTGGTGCAGGGGGAGCCTTGGAGCCTGATCCTGGGCTCCCCCTGCACTGGCAAATAGCAAGCTCCTGGAGCTGGGAGCCCTGATCAGCAACCATGCTAGGAGCCATCAGTTGATCAGAGCTACCTGCCATGGGGGCTCAGTGGAATCCTTGACTCTAACTGCACTCTGTAGGCTGGAAGCCCTGATACGCTGCTCATCTCAGCTGAGGAGGGCATATTGGAGTCAAGGGCTCCAATGTGTCCCTGTGGCTGGGAACAGCAGCTGATCATGGAAGCCCCCAAGGCTGTGACCCACAATCAACTGATCAGCACTCTTAGCCTCAGGAATACATGGAAGTAAAGTCTGGAGGCTAGGGGCTCCAATTAGCCTGGCCACAAGTTCAGTTAATGGTGTGATAGGAACCAACCACAAAAGTTATTACACATATTTTGTGTAATAACTTTGTGTGTTAACCAGTGTAATAACAAACAAGGAGTAAGCCACATTTTGTGTAATAACTTTGTAGCTTATTGCTTATTTTATCACACTATTCATTGCATTAATGTGTGGCCAAATAATTACTTAAGATGTCATTAACTGGATCATGTAACATGTGCTAGGGGCCTTAGGCATGTGGTTTTGCCAATAACCAAAAGCTGAATCAAGGTCCCTCAAGAATATGAATGCTCCAAGCTAATGGGCTTTGACTGGCTATGAGTTTTGCTGGGAAAGAGAGGAGGAGGATGGGAGACAGGCATGGGAAAAGTGAGAAACAAGGCACAGCAATCTGAAAAATATGTGGTACATTGCCTTGAGAGAAACCTAAAGAAAAAGGGCTGTTGAGTCAAGAGCTGTGAAGAGAGAAACTGTCTCCAACTAGATTCCCCTGGTCTTCAGAAAAGCAGGATTTTGTACATTCTCATACCAGAATCCATCACTTAAATGGGCTAACCTGCAAGAACTTGAATTTTTGCCAGCTGCTCAAAGACAGTAACTACATAAAGCTCTTTAAAATGTATGATCACACGTGGTGTGACGAACACTTTTAGCATCCCTCTCCCACATCAAACATGTAAAAGCTGCACACAGCTTGATGCAAGAGGCTTACGTGACCTGCGAAACGCCTTGAAAGTTGCTGAAGACAACAGATTTTCATTTATAATTATTTTTACTTATTATTTGTATTACAATGTACTGTGCAACCCTTTGAAGCATGACCCCAAAAAGACGAAGGGTCAGAGAAGAAAGAAACAAAAACAAAGAGAACTGAGATACCTTGCTTTGGCAGGCTAGTGGCACTACTGGGAATAGGGTGCAGGACTCCTAAGTCCCACTTTAATACATATCTATTTGATGTTTTGCTTAAATTTGAACTTAGCTGGAGGAAACAGATACTTAGTTATTTATACATAAATATGCATACACAACCTGTAGCAACTATATGCGTTTGTAAGGAAAGGCTGGAATAACTACGGTTATTTAGTCTGGAGAAGAGATGACTGAGGCAGGATCTGATAAGTCTTTATATACCTAAAGGGCATTAGAAAGAAGATGGAGAAGGGCTTTTCTGTGTCCACAGAAGACAGAACTAGGAGCAATGACCTGAAATTGCAGCAAAGGAAATTTAAGTTGGAGATTAGGAGGAACTTTCTGAGTGTGAGGATGGGCAAGCATTGGGAGAAGCTACCTAGAAGTTGTGGAATCTACATCCGTGGAAATTTCCAAGAGCAGGTTGGACAGACACTTGACTGGAATGGTTGAGTTGAGTTGATCAACCCTTGAGCAAGGGGCTGGACTAGATGACCTTGTGAGGTTTCTTCCAGCCCTACTTTCCTATGATCCTACATATGTATCACAAATATATAAAAATACAGCCCGTAGGTATAAATCAGATTATCAATAAGATTCTAACATGAATTGCCATTCCACAATAATATATGTCAAAGGCATAAATATCACCAAGTAATGCTGGAAGGCTTACTAAACAGCCTTTTTTCTTTTTAATGTATTTTTCCTCCTTAGTTTACTGACTGATCACAAATGTACCTGTTACTATGGCCCCCTCTACACATTACATTTTAGATGTGATTAACCAGTAAATCATGCCTTAGGCTGACACAACTGCATGTTCAACCAATGAATGGTGTGATGAAACAAGCAATAAGTTGCAAAGTTATTCCACAAAAAATGTGAAATAACTTTGTACCTTGTTCTAATCATGCCATTAATTGAACATGTGACCAAGTGCTCCCAGGTGGCTGGGAACCCCATCAACCGGGAGCTCCCAGCCACATGGTGCACCAGCCACTATCAGCACTGCAGCTGACAAGGCTCACAGTTCTGGCAGCATTCCCATTGTGGAGTTTGCAGCAGGGGCAGCATTGTCAGCTGAGGTGCTTGCAGCAGGGAGTTCTCCCTGGTGTCTCCACTGCAAGCTTTGCAATGTGCAGGACTTGCTGCGGTGGCAGTAGAAAGTCAGTTGTGGGGCTCGCAGTGCAGGCAACACAAGGAACGCCGCCCCTGCTGTGAGTCCCGTCAGCTGCAGGGCTTGCAGATGCAGGAGTTGATACAGAGGGAGCCTGGAATCCCAAGCTCCCCCTGCACCTGTGATAAAGCCAAATGGGATCTAATGCACCATCCCACAATCAGGTCCCCTTCCATGCACATGTACATGGCAGAAGGCACAATTTTGTATGGACTGTGCATCCAATCCCATTGCGCCTTTATCTGCATGTGTAGAGGAGCCCTATGTAACAGTAAAAAGGAATGTCACTTCATTTTTGCTTCGCAGAAGGCACACCGATCTTGATATCAGTAGAGAGACAGAAAAACTCAGAAACGATTTCATTACAGATGCTGAGTTCTTGAAAATTAGCTCATGTCTCCTCAAGACAACTCTTACACTCTCCTGGCATCTATACACATGCTCTGGGGGAGGGGGGTCTTTAATTAGGAGAGCCGCTCTAATTAAAGCGCCTGGAGCATCTCATATATCAGCATTTCCAAGTTTCAAAATGGTGGCAGAGGTGCTTTATTTAAAGCTTGTTCAATGAGCTTTAGATAAAGCCCCCCTCCCCACCATTTTGAAGTGTGGGGACACTAATACACAAGACATGGAGGCTGGCTGCAGTGCAGTAATTACCATGCTCCAGCAGACTCGATTATTTGAGTCTGCTCTGACAGCGCTGTAATTACAGCACATAGGAGCAGCCTCCATACTCGTGTATAAACACCCTATGGCTGCAGAGGCCAGTTCAGATAAAGGAAAATGTATTTGCTACATGGAAGTCTATGTGGCAAGACTTGGGCCCCAAACTGGCCCCATAACTATAATGTATTTTTAACCATTGTTTGAAAAGGGAATCCCGTTTCTAAACTTGTAGTCTACAATAACAGCTCTGCTGGGTAAGGATTGCACTTGTATCTTTTTCTAACAAACTGTTTGATCCCACAACTGGTTCCATGTTAATTCTCTTCTGAACTATTTTCTACTTGGATGGATTTTTGAGAACTGTTGCACAAACAACGTGATAATTAATATGGCAAATTAAAAAAATGAATAAAATTAGGCAAAATATGTTAAGACTAGAATTACCTTAGTGAGAAGCCACTTAAAAGTTAGACAATGATTTCGAAGATACATTAAAGAAAATAATGTTTGTCCAAAACATTATACTGAAGTTAGGCCAAAGTGTTACTCTATTAAGCATATGTTAAAATAAATAAATAAACCTGAAATAACACATGCAACTTACTAAAACAGGGCTTTTTCCAGATTTATCTTTCTCTTTTCCGGTTTTTCCTGTATCCCACTTTTCTGCATTGATATCTGCTTCATTCCATTCTGGCCAAATGGGAAACTTCCCTTTCTTTGATTCAGCAGCAGTACCCATAGTGCTTGAAACAGAGCTTCCCCTGGAAAGCAATCCACATCACAATTAAAAATTAAGAATACACTGAAGAAGAAAAAAAAAAACATACTTCTGAGAATCTTCAAGCACCAAACTTTCATAATTTACTATTTGGGAACAGTATAGTGAACAGTTGAGGAGAACAGAAGGATTCCATTACAGTTGCTGAGTTCTTGCGAATTAGCTCTCAATGGCTGGAGGACATTGCAATGCCAGAGTCACTGCCACTGCCACTGCTTGCATCTGTGAGGCAGGACCGCTCACCATAGACGCTTCCACCCAGGTCCAAATTTGGCGCAATGGAGACTGAGGCTTGCAGGTTCCTTCCAGTGACGGCCAGGTTGGGGAGTGCCTGCAGCATGAGCAGTTCCTCCTGGTGATATGTCTCAGGGAACAGGCAAGAGAACTACAGAAAGAGCTGGCAAGGCTCCGAAGCATCTTCTGCCATGAGGCATTCATGGAGTCAATGCTGGAGACCTCCAGGACTGTGGAGGAAGAAATGCCAGACACAGCACTAGAGAAGAGAAAGGACGTGGATACCCAAGAGGGTGGAAGCTGAAGGCTTGTGGCTTCTGGCAGAAAGCCAAGATCTTCACCTCCACCTGTAGTAGTTCATCTGGAGAACAGATATGCAGCCCTACCAGCAGAGAGGGAGGAGCATGTTCCATTGGTGGAGGAAGGCAGGCCAGGACTCAAAGTGGGAAGGATTGAGATGACTGCCACCCAGAAGCAGTGATGGGTGGCAGTGGTTGGAGACTCCCTTCTGCAGGGATGGAGGGAGCCATCTGTTGACCTAACCTGTTGTCTTGGGAGGTCTACTGATAGCCTGGAGGCAAGATCTGAGATGTCAGAGAGGGACTATCGAGACTCATCTGGCCCTCTGACTACTACCCCATGATGCTCATCCATGTGGGTACCAATGACACCCTGAGCATATCAAAAGTGACTACAGGGATCTGGGTGCAAAAGTGAGGAGGTCTGGGGCTCAGGTTGTGTTTTCATCAATTCTTCCGGTCAAGAGAAAGGAGCAGGTGCATCCTGCAGATCAACACATGGCTGCACAGGTGGTGTCCCCAGCAGGGCTTTGGCTTCTTCAGCCATGGTATGTTCTTCCAAGAAGGATTGCTGGGAAGAAATGGGATCCACCCGAACAAAAGAGGGAAGGGCATCTTTGAAGACACGCTCACTAACCTAGTGAGGAGGACTTTAAACTAGTTTTGTAGGGGGATGGAGACCAAAGCCCTGAGGTAAGTGGGAAAGTGGGAGACAGAGGAAGAGCAAGCAGGAGGGGACAAAAAGGGAGGTGCTCTCATATTTCCTGAGAAATCAGGGTAATCAACTAGTTACCTCAGGTGCCTGTACACAAATGCACCGAGCCTGGGAAACAAGCTGGAAGAATTGGAAGTCCTTGCACAATCACAAAGCTATGACGTGATTGGAATAACAGAGACTTGGTGGGATAGTTCACATGACTGGAGCACTGTCATGGATGGGTATAGACTGTTCAGGAAGGACAGGCAGGGGAGAAGAGGAGGAGGAGTTGCACTTAATGTAAAAGAACCATATGATTGCTCAAAACTCCAATATGAAACTGGAGATCAGCCTGTTGAGAGTCTCTGGGTTAGGGTCAGAGGGGAAAGCAACAAGGGTGATGTTGTGATAGGGGTCTGCAATAGACCACCAGACCAGGAGGAATGTGGTAGATGAGGCTTTCTTCAAACAGCTGACAGAAGTTTCCTGATCACAGGTCCTGGTTCTCCTGTGGAACTTCAATCACCCTGACATCTGCTGGAAGGGCAATACAGCAGTGCTCAGGCAATCCAGGAAGTTTTTGGAGAGCGTTGGGGACAACCTCCTGGTGCAGGTGCTGAAGCAGCCAACTAGGGGCCATGCTCTTCTTGACCTGCTGCTGACAAACAGGGATGAATTGCTGGGGAATGTAGTAGTGGATGGCAACTTGGACAGCAGTGACTATGAGATGATTGAGTTCAGGATCCTGAGGAAAGGAAGGATGGAGAGCAGCAGAGTAAGGACCCTGGACATCAGAAAAGCAGACTTCAACTCATTCAGGGAACTCATGGGCAGGACCCCTGGGAAGCCAGACTGAGGGGGAGAGGAGTCCAGGAGAGCTGGCTGTACTTCAAAGAAGCCTTACTAAGAGTGCAGGAGCAAACCATCCCAACATGCAGGAAGACTAGCAAATATGGCAGAAAACCATCTTTGGCTTAGCAGGGATCTCTTTGGTAAACTAAATAAAAAAAAGGAAGCTTAAAGGAAGTGGAAAGTTGGACAAATAACTAGGGAAGAATATAAGAGCATTAGCTTTGGCATGCAAGGATGAAGTCAGGAAGGCCAAAGCACAACTGGAGTTGCAGCTAGCAAGGGATGTGATGGAAGGGTTTCTACAAGTATGTTGGTAACAAGAGGAGGATCAGGGAAAGTGTGGATCCCTTACTAAATGGGGGAGGCAACCTTGTGACAGAGGATGCAGAAAAGGCTTAAGTGCTCCATGCGTTTTTTACATCCGTCTTCACAGGCAAGGTCAGCTTTCAAACTACTGCAACAGGAAGCACAGTTTGGGGAGGAGGTGAGCATCCCTCAGTGGTGAAAGACCAGGTTAGGAACTACTGAGAAAAAGTGGATGTGTACAAGTACATGGTGCCAGATAACATGAATCTGGGGATGCTGAGGGAATTGGCTGATGTGATTGCAGAGCCACTGGCCATCATCTTTGAAAACTCATGGTGATCAGGAGAGGTCCTGGACGATTGGAAAAGGGCAAACATAGTGCTCATATTTAAGAAAGGGAAGAAGGAGGATCCAGAGAACTACAGACCAGTCAGCCTCACCTCAATCCCTGGAAAAATCATGGAGCAGATGCTCAAGGAATCCATTTCTAAGCACTTGAAGGAGAAAAAGGTGATTAGGAACAGTCAGCATGGATTCACCATGGACAAGTTATGCAGGCAACCAACTTGATTGCCTTCTATGATGAGCTGACTGGCTCTGTGGATGCGGGGAGACCAATGGATGTGGTGTGCCTAATTTTAGCAAGGCTTTTGGTATGGTCTCCCACAACATTCTCACAGGCAAGCTAAGGAAGCATGGGCTGGATGAATGGACTATAAGGTGGAAAGAAAACTGGCTGCAGCATAGGGCTCAGAGAGCAGTAATCAATGGCTCAATGTCTAGTTGACAGCTGGTATCAAGTGGAGTGCTCCAGGGGTCAGTCCTGGGACCAGTTTTGTTCAATGTCTTCATCAACAACCTGAAAGATGGCATAGACTGCACCCTCAGCAAGTTTTCATATGACAACAAGCTGGGAGGTGTAATAGATAGGCTGGAGGGTAGGCCTAGGATTCAGTGTGACCTAAACAAATTGGAGGATTGGGCCAAAAGGAATTTCATGAGGTTCAACAAGGACAAGTGCAAAGTCCTGCACTTAGGACAGAACAATCCCATGCACCAGTACAAGCTGGGGGCTGACTGGCTGGGTAGCAGCTCTGCAGAAAAAGACCTAGGGGTTACAGTGGGCAATAAGCTGAATATGAGCCAGCAGTGTGCCCTTGTTGCCAAGAAGGCTAGTGGCATACTGGGCTGCATTGGTAGGTGTCTTGCCGGTGGGTCAAGGGTAGTGATTATTCCTCTCTAGTCAGCATTGGTGAGGCCACATCTGGAGTACTGTGTTCAGTTTTGGACATCCCACCATGGAAAGGATGTGGACAAATTGGAGAGTCCAGCAGAGGGCAACAAACATAGTGAGGGGAGCTGGGGGACATGACTTATAAGGAAAGACCGAGGGAACTGGGCTTATTTAATCTAAAGAAGAGGAGACTGACTGAGAGGGGACTAAATAGCAGCCTTCAACTACCTGAAGTGGAGTTAAAGAGAGGATGGAGCTAGACTGTTCTCGGTGGTGGCAAATGACAGAACAAGGAGCAACGGTCTCACGTTGCAGCAAGGGAAGTTTAGGTTAAATATTATAAAGAATTTTTTCTCACTAGGAGGGTAGTAAAACACTGGAACAGGTTACCCGGAGAGGTGGTGGAAGCTCCATCGCTGGGCTAAACAAACCTTTGGCTGATATGATCTAGTCAGGGATGCTCCTACTTTGTTCAGGGGTTGGACTAGATAACTGTTAGCAGTAAGTCCTGGCCTGGTCACACATGTGTAGGATGACTAGAGGTTACAAGCCTCTGGAATCTGTGAACTTCTGACCTTGGTGATGCTGCAACCTGCTTCCCAGCTGCAAGCATGCAGAGTCTGTCAGGATTATACAACTATCACGGCAGGAAAAATATGATAATGAAGTGCTGGGTTGCAGGAGTTTGTGAGAGGACTAGTCATGTCTGCATCTCTGAAAGGGAGTATGCACTGTTTGTTTTGAGGCAAAGGGCACCTGTGTGAGCGAGGGGCCGAACTCCCAGGATATCACTGAGCTGTGGAGAGATTCCCGCCATACATGAACGCACCTGCCTGATCTACTTGCCATCCTTCATGAGGGTAAAGTATCGCCTGCCTTTGTATCCGAGGTGCTTGGTACCCATTTGGGGAAGGGCAGAGACAGCCTCAGTGACCGTGGCTAAGGCTGAAGTAGCGCTCACAGTCTCCACATTAGGCACTTGGTGCTCTTGACCGCCCTCTTGTGGTACCTCAGCGGGGGTTTGGCTGTTATTTGTAAATTCTGATATCATCAAAGCCTACGTCTGTCTGTCCGTCCATACCACTTCATTCACACTCTGATTGGCTGACAAACAGCCAATCAGAGTGCGAAGAGGTGTTCTGACAGAAGGCAGCCCGCTGCCATGATGGGGGGGACAGAGCGGAGCGGGGCGGGGCGAGGTGGGGGAGCAGGCCCAGACCCCAAGCAGCAGGAAGGAATGGGGAGCAGGCCCGGACAGGCAATTGGCTAGTATTGTATAAAGGCAGCCCTCGCTTAGCACTCTTAATTGGTTCCCAAAAAACCGAGCGTTAAGCGAAACCAATTTTTTGACGAACCAAGGT